TTCAACAAACCATCGTTTATCCTTCTTCCTCCCTGTTTCCGTTCCTCCTCCTTTTCTAAGCCTCTCTTGGGCTGAATACTACCCTTTGAGTCTTACATGGTTGATTATTTTAACGCTGGGGTGAGTTCAGTCCCAGACCTGAAGACTCACTAATAACTACAACCTTTGTGGTCCCACCAGTCTCTATTTGATTTGTACTCCTGGTCGGTTAGGATTTTGAGTTCTATTCCATTTTTCTCCCACTGTCCAGAGTTTCTCATGTGATCCTTTTGAGAGCAGCTGATAGTGGGCACCATCTAATTCTTCTGCTTTCAGGTTGTGCAGACTGATGTTTGCATGTTTCATTTCTTGATTGGGTTATTCCCATATTCTTCCTCCAGAGAAAGACTAATATGTGCACCTTAGATGGCTGTTTATGGGCTTTTGGGACAGTCGTTACTCATCAAAGTAGGATGTAGAGCACTGCCTTTGTGAACGATTTTACTCCAATTGAGCTTGGCTATGGTCCTGACTCCCAGGCCCAGACATTCATTCCCTCAAGGTGTTTGGTTATGCCTACGAAGTTTTCATGACTGTCCCCATATGCTCTTCCACAAGCATGGATATATTTACAGCAGAGGTAAACGCACCTATACAAATAACCTCTCATATCCATAAATATTCGTGTGTATATTCCCACTCTCCCTCTCTCATATCTGTTCAGCCGGAGTATCTATCCAAGCATTAACTCGTGGATTAGCACTATTGCAGGATTATATGTATAACAGCATTTGCCTGTTGCCATTAACTCACAAACCACCCAAATGTCTTCTGTCTCCATCTTTTTTTGCCAACCTCTTATTGTTTATTGCTTTCCCCTTCACCTCTTGGGGTACTTTAAATATTGCTTAAATAAAACTTCTGTTTATCTTTTTAAAATTGCTTTATTTGGCTGACAATAAAATGAGTGAAATTTCCTGGACTTGTCAGAGAATGGACAAAATTTTATCAAGACAAAATAGAAAGCTTCAGAGTTGATATATAGAGAGACGGTTAGCAGCGATGAAGCTACAGCATATTGATGGTTCCAATATGTGATGCAACATGTAGCATAGTTTAGCTGTAGAAACCCCATATTTTTTACCTTCTGCATTTAATCTTTGGTTCATGGCCACGAATTACTTTCATATTGAAGTTATATTTTTTGTTCTGGTCTTGAGGGGAATTTCATAGGCTAGAAGACTATTAAGCAGTGTTTTTGAAAAGCTCATTATTAATCCTACCATAGTCCAAAGAAACAGTTTTGGGCTGAAACATGTCCAAAATGATTAATGAAGAACCAAATGTTTTTATTTTTAAAGTTAAAGATCAAAGTATTTAAGAAATCCCAGGCATCCTTTTTTAATTAGTGCTTTAGTTAGGGTCCTTTCCGCAGGTACTCTCCCAAGGATTTACGGACTCTAGAATTATTTATAGCTTGATTGTCCAAAGTATCTGTGGTAAGCGATTTTTTTGGTGGGTGGGGGGGTCCACAAGAGATTTTATGAAATATATATGCGCTGAATACTATACATCAAGTCTTTCCATCATGAAAACACTTCCAAAGCTCTCTGAGAGTTTATGCCAAAGCCAAGCCAGCGAGAACAAGAGAAGGTTCACTAGTTGAGTCCATTCTGAGTCCTGTACGGCAGAATTGTAGCACAGGGTTTCTCATGGAAGGAGGCTGCCCGGTCTTCCTTCTGAGCAAAGTCATTTGAACAACAGAAAATATACCAGCCAGGAGAGAAGGGGGCAACTATTAGGGAGCATGAACATTAACTATTAAGGAGAAGGAAAAAAAAGGGGTGGGGTGGGGAAGGAAGAGTAGAAAAGGAACAAGGTGAAATATAATTGGCTGTTCAAAACCACCAGACACCCTTCAGGAGAAAGATGAGGTTGTCTGCTCCTTTAAAGATTTACAGTCTCTTAAACCCCAGGCCAGGTTACTATGAATTGAAACAAACTTCTTGGCAATGGGTTTTGGTATATTCTTCTTAGGGTCTTGCACAGAACATTCGTATTAGAGAATGTTTTCATTAAGCATAGAAGCAATTGGGATTTGTTGATCCACAGTGACGGGCACCTGGCCCTTTCAAAGATGTAGAAAAGAAGGTCGAATTAGAGATGAGAGCCTTTCTTCCTGCATGAGGGGGTCCCACCCATCAGCCAACAAGATGAATAGACAAGTTCCCACCCCGACAGAGAAATTGGTGAAAGTTCAAAGCGCTTAACTATTAGTCAACAGGCTGGCTGTTCAAACCCAGTCAGAGGCACCTAAGAAGACAGGCTGGTAATCCTCTTCGGAAAACTCTCTGGAGCTATTTTACTCAGCACACATGGGGTCCCTGAGTGGGAATCCATGGTGACCAACGGTATCAACCCAGGCAAGCATAAATAACCGTAACTTACATTGTTAGCAGTATTCTGCCATCAAAACTCTTAATTAACTACCTTTTCTGGTCACATACAAAAAATGATGCAAAATATTTAAAAATTTCTTCTGCTGTAAGAATCTTCCAGCAAAGATTCCTGATGGCACTGTCAGGTAGGCATAGGGCTGCTAACCAAAAGGTCAGCAGTTCACACCCACCCACCCTTGTGGCAGAAGTCAGTTGAGGCTTATCTTTGGCTGTAAAGCTTTGTAGCCTCAAACCCTGTATCGGGTTGCTATGAGTGTGAATGATGTAATGGTCATGAGTTATTTTTAGTGGAGCAAAAGGTTCATTAAAAATCACTCTTTAAGAGTTGATTTAACGAATAAAGCGCTGGACAGAATGAGGTCTATGCAATCACATCTCTAGGAAGGAAACAGCATTCTCAGACTACTACCAATGATCTTATTTTAAGCTGCTCAGTAACCGATTTACTGGATTTGGGTTTCAAAGGAATGTTTCTGGATGGGTCAGGTCAGGTAAGGCAAGGCACTGCTGGCAAGGGAAACATATTAAAAAGATAAGTGAAACTTCTAGGTGGAGGTGGTAGATCCACGCATACCCTCCCTGCAACCCAGGATCCTGCAGAGGTGACCACGTCCTCTGAGAGGGGAGGGCTGCATCAGCACAGAGAGTTTGAAGATTGACAGCAACTGGGATGCTTTGATCGGGGGAGTGTCCGGGACCTAGCCCTTGCCAAGGTGGAAAGGTAGAGAAGAAGGTGGAATCAGAGATGAGAACCTTTCTTCCTGGGTGAGGAGGTCCCACTGAACAGCCAACAAGATGAATAGATTATGTTCCTTATCCTGACAGACAAATGGGTGAAATTTTAAAGCAAGGATTGAAAAACAAAACAAAACCTTTGCAGAAGGAAAAGCAAATTGCCTAAAAAAGGAACAAGAGTTTCTCAAAGCAGGTGTGGATGTTTGAAGTCTGATACAATAACGCCTCCATGCTCTATGTATACTTTTGAAACTAGTATATTATATACGAGGGACATGACGAATCAAGTGCGAGAGCAGAGGGCAGACTTTCAGAGACGCCCAGATGTAGAGGCCTTGTTAAACCAACAACCACAACCAAACCAAACCAACGCGAGCTGCCTTTGAGGTGATTCAGACTCAGGTGTGTCCGAGCAGAACTGTGTTCCGGAGGATTCTCAGGGCTGTGACCTTTTGGAACTAGATCACCAGGCATGTCTTTCAAGGTGCCTCCAGGTGGGTTCAATCCACTAACCTATGAGTTAGTAGTAGAGTACAAATTTAACTATTTGTACCACTCTAAGACTTAAAGAAGTCATATGAAAAAACAAACACAAATACCAAACCTACTTTAGGGAGACGTTTTTGACTGATGGAGATACTATCTCCTAAACCAAAAATCCATTGCCATCTAGTAATTCTGACTCATGGTGACCCCATATAAGATTTCAGAAGCCATAAATCTTTAGATGAGCAAATAACCACATCTTTCTCCCCCAGAGTGACTGGTGGGTTTGAGCTATCAACTTTCCAACCCTTACCTGACAGGACACCAGGATTCCTATAGTGCTGCTATGTAACTCACTACTGATTACATCTCATAGCGAGCCTATAGGACAGAATAGAACTGCCCCTGTGGATTTCCAAGACGATAGCACTTTACAGCTGTAAAGAGCAGCTGATGGGTTTGAACTGCCAACCTTGAGGTTAGCAGTCTAACAGTTCCTTAATGGGGATTGCAGCCAGGCATAAATGCTAGAACACTCTGACTGAAACGTAGCAGCCTCTTTCATTAAGCATTCCCTTGGTTGTTTTAAGGTGATTCAAATCCAGAGTAATGGGCAGGGTGGGGGTGGGGGAATTCTTTCTCTCTCTCTCTGCCAGCTTAATGGATGCTTCCATGGAAGGACAAATCCTTGGCGCTCCCCATTTGACCATTTTTGGTAAACGTCACCCTATGTGATACTCTTGACAAAGTTCAGAAGTGGCGGACAGATCAGTAGTTCCCGGGGGTTGGGAAGTAGGACAGGAGGGAGTTGAATGCGGAGGCAAAAAGGCAACACAAGGGGTCTTTGTGGCATTGGAACGTTCTGTATCTTGCCTGCTGTTATGGTTAGGGGCGTCCAGTAGGTTCCCACTCAGAGACCGTACGTTTAACAGAGCAAAACACAGCCCAATCCTTCCTGGGTCTGAGCCATTGCTGCAGCCACTTTTTCAGTCCATCAAGTTGAGGGCCTTCCTCTTTTTGACTGGCCTCCCCTTTACCTAGCCTGA